TTATATAAACGCATCAGTAACTTCATGTTATAAAACTTAGTGTCATGCATGATTTGGTGAATCACTACAAGAAAAACACGATTTTGCTAGGGAAGGTCGCTATGGAATGTATTTTCATTGTTAATCTGCCATGGATCGTGTTATGGAATGTCGTTCCCTAAAAATGTTGCTACCATATTGTCTATGGATTTTATTTCTGGTAGCGAGAATGGTACTTGATAGGGAAAATGCTACCGACTCCATATCTATTGGTATTATACTACCGATGTTCTATGGAACAAAAATATGTAGCAATTTTCCAACGATATTTGTTACGAAATCACTTTCCATTGTATTGCTGCTATGAAATTAATTATCGTGGTTACTATGCAACAGAGTTTGTGACAGAAACCAACTCCATCGTTGATTTGCTATGTAGGTATCATTCGTAAGTATTTTGCTAGGGAATTCTGCTATGGAATATGATTTTGTTTGCTTGTTTTGCTATGGAACAAAACGCGTAGCTAATTTGTGACGACATTTGTTGGGATGTTGTATGTTTAATTAATTTTCTTATTCAATTGATGAATTATTATTATGATCAATGGAATTTGTAAGATATGGTTTGAATGAAATGTTTTTTGAATTGGTAATATGTGGCATAAACTAATGGCTAAAAATGTAAAAATGAATATAAAAGTAAATATTGCTGGCAAGCGGACTCGAACTTAAGCATATGCTAGAAAAGGTCGTGATTAAGCTAGTTGTGCTAATCAAGTTGTGTATAATTTATTGAAAAACATAGTATATAATGACTAATTAACCATATAGTTTTATTAGAACTTGGGCCCTATTTTTTCCGGGGCCTGTGCGGTTGCACCTTTTTCACACCTTTAAAACCGGTCATGTTAAAGTATATAATTTATGTAGATTATTTTTCTTAATAACAAATTCATTACAAACTTATTTTTAATTTCGTTAACTATACGTCATAACAAAAATAACATGGGTTTTACGTATACTTCTTCCTACTCAAACAAAATAGCAAGCAAAAATGACTAAAATGCCCTTTTAACAGAATGATGTAAACATAAAACCAAAATAAAATTATAGTAGTATGCAACTTCATATACAATACAATGTGAACACCAATATTTAATGTCCAATCTATTATAAACCATTTATATTTTTAAGAAATGTACAAAACCTACCATACTCTACATACTAACAACAAACCATGCAATATCTTTGTCGATCCTCTTCCTCTTCATAGGCTATTGCAAATGCACCTTTAACAGAATGACGTGGGTCTTCACATTGGAATGTGATGTTATTCGTTGTAAGTATCTGAACAACATCAACAACCCGCAACAAATCTTTGGCACTATCAACATCACCCGTGTACTCCCCATCATCCGGAACTGCCCAACCAAAATAGGTATCAAGTAACTGTAAACATACACATTAAAATATCCATCAATTAATCCAATGTATCCTTTTCAATACAACAATAAATATTATACAACGCGTCACAACTAAATACTAACCCCAAACTACAAACATGCCTTAATTAACTATATATATAATTTAATTTACATATATACCATATATACATATCTTCATCACATTGATGAGGCCCTTTTGAAATGTAGATCATTCCAAGCACATAAATTGCCTCAAGATGATCTTCATCTACTGCTTGTCTCAACAAAGTCAATCCTAAATCAAAATTGCCATAATAAAAGCACTCATCCTGTTGACAAAATAACAATATCAATATATAACATCAATGCCACTAAATATTAATAAATGGTATAGATTAGATATAATTACTGAAATTACACATACAATTCTTTGTCTGAACATGGCTTCAATGTTATTATGCAATGCACATATACGTATAAATAAATCAACTTTTAGATTTTTGGGACTTATTCCTTCAAACATATCAATGCATGTTGTTATGTACACTTGAGTATCACCCCTCCCCCCGCTTCATACATCTTCTTTAAACTTCGGAAATATAAATACATAGTAATAACAAATAAATAAGTTGTATTTCATCAAATATACATTTATTAGTTGATGTTTATTGAGAATTACCAAAGTCTTGCAGAGAGAATGTCTTTTGCAGATGATGCCCCTAATACTACAAATATCCAACTCAAAATCTCTAGTGGGGGATCATCTAACGAACGGTGACTTCTAGTATTCGACATTCTACTTACAAAATACACATTGGAGTAGTTGATTTCATTTTTTTTTAAATTAAGCGTAACTATGAAAGACAATGTAACATGGTATGGAAAAAAACTTACTTTATGTTGATCTAGTCGAGAGGAGTACATGAGTCTCTATTTTTGGAGAAAATCGCTTTTGAGAACGATTATCCTTCGACAATTTATGGGATTTAGTGTTTGTGTACAAATTTATCATCCGGAAAAGTTGAGATGTTCTGAATGGTTGAAGAACTGGAACGCCGGCGTGACGTCAGACGTATGATGGCGCCTTAACAAGTTAGAGTGAAAAAAGACCAAATTGCCCCTGAAATCATTCTAAATATGTGAATACTAAGGGTATTTGTGTCAAAACATATTATTCAAATATTATAACCTTTTATAGCTAGGTAACAGTGGACTTTTGATTGTTGAAATGAAAAAGACAAAAATAATATATATATATATATATATATATATATATATATATATATATATATAATCCATAATATAATACATTTATATTAACATTTTACCAAATTATTAGTATATATTCATGTATATATATATATATATATATATATATATATATATATATATGTATATATATATATATATATATTAAAAGTGGAACAAGATTTTAATAGTAAACTTTTTTACTTTAGATTTTAGATACAATAGTTTTCTTTTGTTGCCACTTTTAGTCCCTATGTTTATAGTAATTTTTTTACTTTGATTTTAGCCACAATACTTTTTCTTTATTGCCACTTTTAGTCCCTATGTTTATGCCTTTACAATTTTACCCCATGCAAAGCATGGGTTCTCCACTAGTTGATATTAAACCAAATTACCAAATCCAAAATAAAATACATGTATGTTTATGCTTTTACAATTGTATTTTATATGTATTTAATACTAAGAAAGAACAAAGATTTGCTACACACAACTATAATCACAATACAATATAAACACTACTATTGAAAGTCCAAAACACATTATTCAAACATTATTCAAACATCATTCCAAACTTTTACTCTTTTAGTCCCTTATTAACAACACAACATATTTACTAATCAAGTAACAACATCAAGTAATTACTTATCAAGTAAATTACTATATATTAATGTATTAAACCAAAAGAATGTGCATAGCATTAATTTTCATAATATGAAAGTACATATCAACAAATTACTCATAAATTATACCAAACTCCCTAGAAAACCTAATGAAACAAGCATCCCACAAACAAATTTCACACCTAAACACCCATTGGTATCCATTCATAAAAGCGTATGACACACTAACTACATACTTATGCATTGCACAAGATATATGGAAGCCATGGAAGTGTACATGTTTCCTCCCCTCCCTATTTAGGTTGAGATGAACCTTATAACAAGTTGCTCTAAGATTCCACTTACCTTATGCTCTGTGGCAAGCATTGTTCAACATGTCCAAAGCTTCTTACTTCCTATGTCTCCCTTCATCCATCAACATCATTCCCAGGAAAAATGTTGAAATCCAAATGTCCCAATGCAGATGCTTCTTCAAGCACCGTTTTCCCTTCATGTTCAGCTTCTAAGAAAAATAACTTCATCTGAAATAACAATTAAACACATAATTTCTAGTTAAAGTTATGTAAAACAAGAAACAGATAAATTACTACTATATATATATATATATATATATATATATATATATATATATATATATATATATATAACAACGTACCAATCCATTCTTGAACAGAATATTTGGGTTTCTCATCTCTATGCATTTGTTGACAACTGCATGTTTTTGGTCAAACCAACCACGAAATCGTAATCCATCTAACTCCATATCTTTATATACTTCATCTGTTTTTCCTGCCTTGTTGACGAATCTGCAACTGCAAACGAAACACAATATTCACTCCATAATGTAAAGACAACTCAAATACACTTGTGAAATAGAATAATCGAATACAAAACTTACACACTCTTCATCCTGAAAGCCTCGACTGCTGAAATTTTTCCCAAGTCGACTATTATTTTCTCCATCACTTCAAATGGCATGTCTGTTAGCGATTTCCTTTGATTTCTTGATTGAATCTTAGAAGAAGTACTGGCTTCCATAATAATAAACATTCACTAAGATAATGATTCTGCGAAAATGATTTTAGGGTTTTTTTACTCTCGGAATTTTGAAATTGGGGTTGTTTGCAAGTGACTGAAATAAGAGTGAAGAACTAAAACAACATGTTTCGTCGGAAAACATTATGGTGCCTAGAAGATGCTCCATTATAAAATGACCAAATTATCCTAATACATACAATGATTTGTATTTAATTAGTATGGGTAGTTTTTTCAAAAGTCATAATTAAAAAGAAGTTCAATTTCTATTTTAATACACAACCGGCACAAATGATATATGTTGACCAATGACCCATATGTCATCCATGGGTGATACCATCACACCATAAGCAAATACCATGTTGACCAATAACCTGCATGTCATCCATGGACACCATAAGCAAATTCCATGTTGATCAATGACCCATATGTCATCCATGGGTGATATCATCACACCATAAGCAACTACCATGTTGACCAATGACCCGTATGTCATCCATGGACACCATAAGCAACTACCATGTTTCCAATGACTCCTATGTCATCCATGGGTGATACCATCACACCATAAGCAACTACCATGTTGACCAATGACCCATATGTCATCCATGGGTGATACCATCACACCATAAGAAACTACCATGTTGACCAATGTGTTGTATGTCATCCATGGACACCATAAGAAAATACTATGTTAACCAATGACCCATATGTCATCCATGGGTGATACCATCACACCATATGCAACTACCATGTTGACCAATGACTCGTATGTCATCCATGGATACCATAAGCAACTACCATGTTGACCAATGACTCGTATGTCATCCATGGGTGATACCATTACACCATAAGCAACTACCATGTTAACCAATGACTCGTATGTCATCCATGGACACCATAAGCAAATACCATGTTAACCAATGACCTGTATGTCATCTATGGACACCATAAGCAAATACCATGTTGACCAATGACCCATATGTAATCAATGGGTGATACCATCACACAATAAGCAACTATCATCTTGACCAATGACCCATATGTCATCCATGGACACCATAAGAAACTACCATGTTGACCAATGACCCGCATGTCATCCATGGACACCATAAGCAACTACCATGTTGACCAATGACCCGCATGTCATCCATGGACACCATAAACAAATACCATGTTGACCAATGACCCATATGTCATCCATGAGTGATACCATCACACCATAAGCAACTACCATGTTGACCAATGACCCGTATGTCATCCATGGACACCATAAGCAACTACCATGTTGACCAATGAGCTATATGTCATCCATGGGTGATACCACTACTAGAAAAACAGCCTTTTACGACGCTCATTGTGCGTCGTAAAACGCTCAGATGACACGCAAATGCGTGTCAAGTAAGGCCCTGACATAACGAGAGATGAAGCGCATTTACGACGCGCATTTATGACACGCAATGCGTATCATTAAAACCGCTGTCAAGAAAGGTCATGTCATAAATGAAGATGACACACATTTTTGCGTATCATAAATTTTTTTTAAAATTATTTATAGATTTACTAATTTTAAATTAAATTTGCATTTCTTGTCTCATAATAAAAAATAAAATACCATATACAAAAAATACAATCCATTGCACAAAAGTTAATGCCATACAAAATACAAAATAAAATACAATAAATAAGAAAGATAATTCATTGCACTAACATGTCAAATACAAATAATCATCCCTAACTATATAACCTAATACTACATTGCTATTAAGGGACATCATCATAACTCACTGAAGGTCTTGCAACAATGTTCTCGTCATCAACTCTTACACCAACCTTTCTTTAGTAGATGGTCTTGGAACATTGTTCTCGTCATCAACTTGTATATCTGCCAAAATAACAAGAGCTAATAGAAAGTCATAATATAAAAGGTCAAAATGCAACTTTCATGGTTTGATTGGGAAAAAGAAAAGTATTAGTGGTTCTATTGTAGCCTACTCATAAAAGTACAAGTTAATTAATTTTGATGATAAATACATAAATAAAGAAAAACAACCTGAAACAATGATAAAAAAAATGAGAACTTACAGCAGCTTCTAGCAAGGTAGAAAGAAGTTCACAATCTGTACCCCACTTAGATAGTATATGCAACACAAGCAGCTTGATTTTTGAAAATGTGTGGTCAATAATAATCAGGCAATCCCTAACAAAAAAAACATTAATGCAATAAGATGAAAATGTGTGGTCAATAATAATCAGATGATTTGAATAACACAATTACCTGAACTAGATCTTATCCACTTACAACTTACTTTATTTTAAAGCAAGAATGGCATATATTATCTTTCTTATTCCCATGCTTGAGAACATAATCCACGAGGTCTGACTTGAGGCATTCAACATTTGTTTCTGAAGGTAAATAAATCCACTCATTTGCCACTATAACATTTGCACATTGGTGCTCAGGAAATTCTCCCTTGTCCACAATCAATTCAATTCCAACCTTCTAATAAAAATAAAAACAAATAAATAAAATAAAAAGTAGTCATTCAGATTGAAAAATGAACAATGGTTACAACAATGTTTTCAATAAAATCATAATGAGTTTGAACTAATACTTACATGAATCTTCATAATGAGCATCTGCAGAATTGATCATTCAAACACAGCACAAAAAGAAAAATATTAGGTGATGTAGCCAAAAATAATAAAAGATTATTGGATCATACAAGATTTATCTAACCAAATCATCTTATTACATTATTCATAAAACACACTACAATGATGACATGTGTACACGTACTGGGTAATAATTTCCAGCAACTGGTTCATTCACTTGCAGCTCCCAATCTGTTCTGAAATCACGAACCTACAAAACAATAAATTTTATCATGTGAGAGACAAGTACAGATACAACCATCCATAAAGTATATACCCTTTTAATGAAGTCTTTCCTGTTAGAATCCGTATAGAATGTTTTGTTTGTCTTCAAGGCACTTGTGATCAGAGTTGTTATTTCTTTCCCAACACCATCATCTATAGGGATAGGTCCAATCTGATAGTAACAAAAATAAGATATGTAATTAGAGAATACACACACACACACACATTCTGGTCAAGTGTCAACAGGAAACTACTACCACTACATTAAATCAAAAGGGAATAAAATTCTTATGATAAACTCAACTTCAGCATGTTCCTTCTCCTTGTATACACGGGTGACCTGATATATCCAGGAGTTTAACTGTTGGTGCACTTCATCCATTAGAGGGCCCTTTACGATAGTAAAAGCTTTTTGTAACAAAAGACAGCGTTAGTCACTTGCAACAGACATCAGTAGTGGATAACTTCCCTAAAAGAGTATGGTTTACCTGCCCTTGAGATTTTATTGGAAATGTGGCATTAGGACGGAAGATATAAGCTCTAGAAGCCTTCAAAAATTAGGAACAACATCAAAAATGAACAAAATTCATGTAACTAACTTCACTACACACACACAAACACACACATTATAGTTGAGAAATTGAATATACCTGGTCTGTCCCATTATAACCAGAATAGTAGTTGTACGAATGTTCCATGGCTCCTTCAACATTCAATCATGTGCAAAAGATGAGAAAATCAATGTGAACAGAGGAATCGAGAAAAAAACCCTAGCTTACAGATGAAATCAACATAAACAGTTCAAATTTAGATGAGAAAACCAATGTGAACAGAGGAATCGAGCAGAAAACCCTAGCCTTTAGCTTCGCCCATCTTTCTTGTGTTGCTGCTGCTGCTTCTTGGTTGTTTGTAGAGAGAGAAAGAGAGGAGTGAAAAAGGGTGTGCTGCTGTTGATTAAGTAAGAAATAGAAAAAGAGCGTCTAGAGACATATCTTCTTTGAGAAGTGAGAGATCCAATGACGGTATTGTATTCAGACACATTGTTGGCGTAGTTTATCTTGGCATAATCGTCGATGGAAACGGAAAAATAACAACGGCCAAGTGCCGCGAGCAGTGGTTGACGATTGGCTAAGGAACCAACAACAGTGAAAATGAGTGCTTTTGGCTAATAAAAGCCATAGTTCATGGGTGCGCACTTGTGAGGTATAGAGCATAAAAAGTAAAAAACCTAGTTCTTCTTTGATATCGGGGATAAGAAAAGCCTTAATATTGCCAGCATTTCGAGTTTGAGGATTCGTAGACCCCCAATCGCCGACTCCATGAAAGATATTGTGAGGTTCGATTTTTGGGGAAGGCAGGTACTTAAATTTATTGGGGATTTGATTTCCCCCTTAGTTGCATTAAAGAGGGACGTGTGTATTAAAATTTTATAAAGAGACATCTCTACACGACACCCACTTAAATTTATGTGCCTTTTGTGTTTTTAATTTTTTTTCATTAGACATTAATTTTAGGGCACGCACAAATGCGTATCCTCTATCCTTCAAATATTGCAAAAATGACATTATTTTTTAGGGCACACACCAGTGTGCATCCTTTATCAGCGTGTGTCATTGTTTGCGCGTCATTAAAGGCCTGTTTTCTAGTAGTGTACCATCACACCATAAGCAACTACCATGTTGACCAATGACCCATATGTCATCCATGGACACCATAAGCAACTACCATGTTGAGCAATGACATGTATGTCATCCATGGACACCATAAGAAAATATCATGTTGACCAATGACCCAGGTGTTATCCATGGGTGATACCATTACACCATAAGCAACTACCATATATATTGACATGGCCCATACATCTTTTATATATGAATTTTGGTTTAAACATAAAAGCATAAAGATGTATAGTTTATTAATGTTTAATCCTCGTTGATAATTTTAAATTAAAATTATACTTTGAACATATCGTTAGTCTATGTTCTTTCTTGACGTTAGCTAGATGTATATACCCTATCTATCAATCTGGAACTACTTTTATTTATTTGAATTACTAAATATTTAGTGGTAAGTAGCACAGTTCGAATTTTTCATTAGTGGAACCTCAAAATATTACGCAATTCCTTTCCCTCCAACCTACGTACGATTACGCTACATATTAGGGTAAGTTTACTGATTAGAAATAGTGTTTACATTTTTTGTTATCATCATCTTCGGCGGCTAATTGATCAAAATATTTGTTCATTATACGTTTGTGCACTGACTTTGGCGATATAGGTTGTTACGCATCTAAAATTTATTTTTATTTAATTTACTATTAACGTGATGATCGTTTCTTGTTCTCTGATCATCTTCATGTATATTATCATCTTAAATTACAAGTAAATTGGTTTTAATTGTATTCAGTAGTTTGCATGCGTAGTTACGCCTTCATATATAATTTATTTTTATTGTTTGTTTCTCTCTTCTCATCAGTAGTTTATCATCTTTAATACATTGGTATTGACTAAAGTTTTTTGTTAATTTTTATGCAAGAAAGATGTCGAACTCGAAAGCTAAAGGAGCATCTGGTGTGAAGCCAACTAAATTCATTGCACCACAGGTTATGAAACACAACAGGATTTCAATGGAAAAATTTATAAACAAACAATTACAAGATGAATAAATCGACTTCCTAATACCAACAATCACATCCAAAGCACCTATAACATCTACCTACAAAACCCCAATACCTAAATCATTAACATCAACCACTACTACCACTTCCTTGGCATCACTTACAACATCCACACCGTCCTTAGAAAATACATCTAAAACTTCAGAAACTGGAACAATACAATCCTCAACACTTACATCAATAACAAAAACTTCAACACCTATATCATTTAAACCATCCTCAACACCGACACCCACTACCACATCATTAACACCTATATATGCTATCACAACCTCAAAACCTGCATCTACACTACCATCCTCCACAACCACAGTAACTACCACACCCTCCTTAAGTAAAGGAACTACCACATCCTCAACATATACATCTATCCCAACACCTGCACTAGAATATACCCCATCAAAAACACCTATTCCAGAATCTACCCCATCACAAACACAACCAACCATGAATGGATCTGTAGTGGGAAGTGTAGAAGGTGAAAGCAATTCCTCTGAAGTTGTAGACCAGATGGATGTTTAACTATTCATGTTTGAAAAAAAAATGTCAGATACCAATCAAATCTTAATTACAACTTTTTCTATGTATAAAATTTTGGTTTACACATACATATCAATTCATAACGTAACACATCACATGATTACTTACAGGATAATGCCACCAGGCCCTTGTGCACACTTTATTAGTTAGTCATTTAAACAAAGAGTAGATCCAGAAGGGTACATTTAGGGAAAAGTAAGCAAAGAAATGCGTGAATTATATTGGGAGGAGTTTCATGTAATTAAGTATATGTGATAAATTGTTGTTTGGTAAACGTTTACACTTAAAATTATGTTTATATTTTTAATGTGAAGAAAAAATGTTGTTGGGATGAAACAATAGACTTCGCTGGTGAGGCAAGCTTGGGCAAGGAAAGCGGGAGAAAGTTATGGTCAATATCTCTTCAACATGCAGAGCCTAAAAATAAACAAACATGGCTTTAAACCAGCTCATATTCCACAGGAAGTCTGGAACTCCTGTCAATTAAAATGGAATACAGAATAATACAAGCTAAAATCTAAGCAGAACAAGAAAAATAGACGTAACGGTGTTGTTGATGGAGTAACAAAACCAACACATAATGTTGGATCCACAAGTCATTTGAAGATAGCTTCTGATTTGGTAATTTTTTAAATGGTACATCGTATCAATGTTTATATATGTTTATCTGTATATTTGACATTTTATATGGTATTTATGCAGAAGAGGAAATTAGGACGTGATCCACCCCACAGTGAATTGTTCCCGTATACACACACAAAGAATCACGATGAAGTCACTTTGATCACAAATTAAAAAGATAGACAAATTCATGTAATATTCATTTCAGTGTTAAACTTTTATACTGTAGCTAGTCCATAATATCATTCGTAAATTTTATATCTTTTAACTTATATTATTTTTATTTTGTAGGCGGCGTATGCAGAAAAATGGAAAGAGTTGGAAGCTGAAGGTGTTGAATTTGAGGAGGACAAGCTATTTTATGTTGTTGTTGGTGATCATGATAAAAATAAGATGACTTTATGGATTAGGCTCTTTTGCAAAAGAGGTTCCCAATATGAATAGTAAAACGAATGTATCTTACATTCCAGAAAAAATGATGAAATAGAAGAAATGAGGGAGCTTGTTGCTAAACAAAAACAACAAAATGAAAAACTTAAAAAATGATGAACACCCAACAAAAAGAAAACAACGCAAGGGTCGGGCATCTTGAAAAACAACTTCAAACGACATTGGATCTTATTAATGTCTTTACAAAACAACAACAATAGTAGCTTGATATATGTTTATTGTAGAATATTTATTTTAGATTAGCAACTTTCATTTTTCCATGTAATAAATAATTATTGTATTATTTTAAGATATAATGATTTTGATTTTTTTGTTATTTTTGTTTTTCATATATTACTACAAAATAATTTAGATATAATTTATAAATCAATTATCCATCGGTCCATATGGGATCTAGTATATAATATACACCACGAAAATTGCTAGGGATTCATGACCACGAAATTTGCTAGTAAGTCATCACACGGAATTTGCTATGGTATGACCACCACATAATTTACTAGGGAATGACCATCACAGAATTTACTAGGGATTCACCACCACAGAATTCGTTAAGGAATGACCACCACAGAATTTGCTAGGGAATCACCACCACGAAATTTACTATGGAATGACCACCACAGAATTTACTAGGGATTCACCACCATGGAAGTTGCTAGGGAATCACCACCACAGAATTTGTGATGCAATAACTACCACGGTTTGTGTGATGGAATCCTACTATAGAATACACGACGTAATACGATCTACTACAAATTTCATTTTGTTGTCACATTTATGATGAAAGTATTGTTTCCGTTGCAAACCCTTGCTACGACATTTTTAGGGACGAAAATGGGTCGTTGCAAATTTCATAGCAAATCATCTTTTGCAACGGAATTTTAGCTTTTCGCAACGGATTCCTTCCGTAGCAAAATCGCGTTTTTCTTGTAGTGGTCAAGGATATAAGCATATGAGTCAAAATTTATTCGTTTCTTTTGCCCTAACGAGAAAAGTGATATCTTTGGGCCCTTTGATGATTTGGTGTTGACTTATAGTGCTGGGCCCAGCTAGGACTAAATTGATATGTTCAATTAGAAGTCTTCTGACGTCATCACAAATTAAGAAATCGGGAAACATAATTTTAGACAATAAGATTGACTCTAATCTATGTCTCGTGTCTGTACGATATCTTGTAGAACGAGGAAATATTTGATCACTTATCTTAGGTCTATTATCTGATCAAATCTGAAGTTGCTTTGGGAAGCACCTTTTTCTATCAGTGTAGAAGTTATACTGACAATTGTAGTTATAGTCTTATCCAAGTGGGAGACTGTTGGATTAGACTTCTAAGATAATAAATAAATTGGTATATACTTAAACTGTTAGCAAAGTCCTTTTGGGTTGCCCTCAAACCTTGTAATTAGATAT